GGAGAGGAGGCCAAGGGAGCTCACCTGGTTGCAGACGGGCTTGTACTTGAGTCCTGGCTTGTTGAGGATCATCTCCAGTTGCCTGCGGTTGAAGTTTGACACCCCGATGGACTTGGCCAAACCTGCATCCTTACACTTCTCCATGGCCTGAGGAGAAAGGGGTTGTGAGGAATTATTTGTGCAGTTGGCTTATCACGATAAATGCAAGACAGAAGTGTGAGAACAACAACTTTCAAAATATGACAATGAAAATAGCTAGCAGTGATTGTCAAGAAGAGAAAAATGCAAATAGCAAATAGGGGAAGAAGATAGCGGCAGCAAGAGTAAGAATTTCTATCTCTTCCTTAGGAAACTGGATAGACTAATGCACAGGCAAGGAAAGAGATTCCTGTTCTCCTTTCCCCCAAGTCTTGTGCCCCACTCTCTAAACATTCCTCTCATGTGTTTTTCCCTTCATCTCACCAAAACTACTCGTGTAGTTTCTGAATTTCTAGATCTAATGGTGCATATTCCATTCACTCCTATTGAATCTGGGAAACAGACTTTCTCTTTTTGTCTTCCTTCTCTGTGTCCTCTCCGCCAAGCACTCACCTCCCAAGTGGTACAGAGATCCACTATGTCAAATATTAGTTTTCCATTTTCATCTGTTGGTGCAAGTTCCTCACCTGGCTGAAATAGAAGCAGTCATTTTAATGATGTCACAGATTAATTTCCCCACCCATAGCTGTGATCCCAGGTACCTTTAAGGACACTCATCCTCCATGAGACAGGTGGTACAATGCTCCAGAAAGTGATGGGTGCTATGTGTTTTACATATGAAGGTGTAAGGAATGTATTCAGGAGACAAGCTTCCTCTAATCTCTTACAATTGTTATATGTATGGAAAAGGACCATTTTCTAGGTCTTAATCGAGTTTCATAGTTGACTTATGTCACTTTATTCTGCCCTTATAATTTCCTCTGTTGAAGTACCTCTCTTTGATTTGGAAATACCTTGATATCCTAAAATAGTGGATAGTACTCTTGTACCTGGTGGGATTATCAGACCAACTGAAGATTTGATAGTGTATGGGCATGACTGTGAATCACACACGGTCAGCAGAAGTTGGGAGACCCAGAGGAGATCTCTTAGGGTGATGACCATGAGCCTTGAACCACTCCAAAGCCATAATCACCACCAATGAAAAAGTTTGGGTCAACCATAATAAAAGTGTTGGAGTTTAGAGATAAGAATAGACAAATGATACATTTTTGTAGACTATCATATCCTTAAATGTAGCCATGTCTTTGACTTCCCGTAACTCAGTAAACTCTTTTGCATTAACTAGCCTGAGTAGTTTCCTGTAACTTTAAATCAAAAGTTATACACTACACAGTAATTCATGGCTAAATACAGCTTCAAACTCTATTGTGAAAGAAGAAGTGGCAGAATAATAAAGCTTTGCAAGTCCACATTAAGGGTTTCTAATTTAAGAACCATGTATAGTGGCTTCTGCCAGATCTGCTTCAGCTTGAAATGGGGAGAGATGGTGGAAACTCATTGTGTATCACATGTGCAGCAGTTTTGTTGGGCATCACAACACGTGAAACTCTGTGTCTGTGAACATCCCAAGAGATGGACTCAAAAGCCATAACTAAGACAGTGCCTTGAAAAAGACTATTGTAATTTCCTCAAGTTTTCAAAGAAGAGGCTTTGAGGTTGCTGTTCTCTCTTCTCTTGTAGGTGTGCATTAGAGAAGTAGGATTCAAAATTTACTCAAAAGAAAGGAAATTAGGTGTTATACTTACAGTTCTTCTTCCATGTAATAATCCCTACATTCTCCTAAGAAAAAGCTCTGTTCAATTTCCCATATAAACAATGTTTATAATGACAGCAGAAGTGCAATTTTATGCTCATACTCAAACTGTATACCTTTAGAGACATTGGAGAATGGATGAGATAGAGGTCAACATAGTCCAGTTGAGCTTTTTTCAGCGAGTTTTCCAAGGCTGGTCGGACCAACTCTGGTCGATGAAAAGTGGACCAAAGCTGCAGAGGTTAAAGAATGGAGGTGATTTTGAATGAATATTGAACAAATCTTATTAGTTTCTGTCATCTAATATTTAGACATTTTCCTACTGCTTCAAAATTTATGACCACTGGCAAACATATTCTCTTCCTTCTCATGATTCCTTTGGCTCTGACCTATCCTTATGAACTTTATTATATGCTGGATGTATAGTTTGTACATCTACTGAATAATAGGAGTAAATTCTTAAAATGTAAAAGTTAGTATCAAGTAACAACCATGCTGTTACCTGAATTATCTTCGGTAGAGTTTACAATTCATTTTAACAGTCTAATTCTTCTATCCATTCAACCCAATGCTTAAGAATAGCTATTTATGTTGCTTAGAAACTAAAGCAACCTAAAAGGGGGATAAAACAAGTTTCGAACATGTTCACTATGCTGGACACAATTTAGGACATTTTAAGAATCTATTATTTAATACTCCCACAGCATTCTTATATTGCTTTCTATCTCACTGATAAAGATAGCAGTTGAGAGAATAATAAGAAATCTTAGAAAATTACCCAGGGGATAAGAAAAACCATAGCATGATTATCATTCTCTGTGATTCTATACTGCATGTCAAATCACACTGATGGCAACTGGAGCTCAAAAAAGTAAAGGGACTTTCAGATCATAAATTGGAACGCAGTCAAAATGAAAAGTGATCATCATTTCCTGAGTTTGATTTCAGTTTTAATATGTGAATGTGTGTGAATACATTTGAACCCAGAAGCAAAAGTCACCCACAACTACTGATCCAGTCATAGAATTATCATCTTCACACAATCACATTAAATACATGTGCACACAAGCTCATCATAGGCACAGTACCTTTGAAGTGTAGAATATGTCTTCTCTCTTCACACTGCCATCTGCAATCTTGCTTCGGATGGCCAGTCCAACCTGCTCCTCATTATTGTACAAATGAGCAGAATCTATATGGCGGAACCCAGCTTCTATTGCTAATTTTGTGACCTCCAAAGCTTTACTTCTGGGAACCTGGAGAAGCAACCAAAGGTAGTATCTGGTGATCAGTGTGGCTGAGAGGTAGTTCAGGCACAAGCATTGCCTTTTACAAGAATCAGCTTTTCCTCCTGTCTGTATGTTGGGTGAAAATCCCATCTAAGTTTGCCTGGGTCTTTCCTGGCTAGTAATAAAGGTTGAGCGTCCCAGAAACACCTTCAGTCCCAGGAAATCTCTGGTTGATCACTATTATGGAGGTACCAAACAACACCCTCAGATTCAGTGATTTGTTGGAAAAGTTAACAGAATTCAAATAGTCCTAATTATTTTTAAATATAGTGATATTATACATGGTAAAAATCACACAGAGTATGGAAGGGAAACAGTTCCAGCTCATATGAGTTCTCTCCCAGTGATATTACACAGAACGTTCACTTAGACTTCCTCCAACATCATATTTGGGAAATGCTGTCTACAAGAGATGTTATTTGGTGTCTCAGTTCTTGAGATTTTGACTGGGTGCTAGTTACACCGACCCAACTAGGGTTCACATGGGAAATCTGTGAATAGTAGTCTATTATGTTAAGTCTTTTCTGCACAGCCATTCTGGCTACACAACAGAACTGAACACTAGGAGTAAAGATGTATACTCTGAGGATATCGGTTTATACATTAAAAATTCACTGAAATCTGTAAGAATTTAGTAAGGTACCTTTCTGCCATAAAAAAAAGGCTATTTCTTTCAGGAAAGATAGAATTCCAGTGAAATTTAAAATTACTGACTTATTGACCAAATTTGGATAAAGATTTGAAGGGTATTTTTTAATGACAAAAATATAAACTGTTTTCCATTTTTATATGTATTTAAGAAGCTTTCTTTTTTCATTGAAATTACAAGGAACTAGATACTAACTCAAAGGTTTACCAAGGCTGCCGCTTCAGTGGTGTCCTTATTTTCACTTCCAGACCATGCCAATTTATATTAAAAATTAAACCATTTTTGTCAATGGTCTAGAAAATGTATCCTTGTAGATCATCACAACTTATCGATAAAGTGAGACTCAAATTTTGATAATTAGTCCCTTTTCACACACTTGGTAGCCTGAGGACAGTCTTGGGATACAAGTTTTCTTCCAGTAGCTCTATCTCGAGAATTAGGTATCCATTTTGTTCATTTTTGTGTCATAAGACTGCTCCTATCACTTTGATACAAATATGATGCATACAAAAAAGGACTAAGAATTTAGACTTTCCTTTGTTAGGTTCTAAATTTTACTTAAAATGAGGTTGTATTTTTTCTTTCAGGAAGTTTTTTTTTTTTTAAGTGAAAGCAGTACAGTGGAAACTCTAGTCCAGGTCCAGTAATACTGGGTGGTGCTCACTAACGCCCATCGGAATAATGATACTCTGCCAACAGTTTTGTAAACACTATATCCAGTAATTTTTACTATAAATATTTCTCCGGATCGTATGTTCTTGGAAGAAGGAAAGATTTCTTCAGTTATAAAAACAGAGAAATCACTCCTATTGCAATTAATTTCCACCAGAGGGAGCTGACGGACACTGTTCTTCGATGCTGAGTTTGACATATTCTGCCAAGCTGGGAAGTAGACACGAACAGAAGAAACAGTGCACAAACTAAAAATAAGCAGTACGTGACCATAGGAACGGACCTCAGTGCTGAACAAGGATTGACTACTTGTTTTCTTCTAGCCTAGGAAACCTAGACCTGTGAGTCATTCAGAGTAAGGCAGAAACATGAACCTTACAACCCAAGATGGGTTTCATATCTACTAGGTTTATTCTTTTGAAATCTCAAAACTAAAAGAAATTATTCTTACCTCTGGAGGTGCATAGGTGCCAAATCCCAATACAGGCATGAAGTGGCCATCATTTAGCTTCACACGCTGGTGTTTGGAATCCATTTCCTGTCACTTGTCTGACTAGCAAATGTTTGCTGCTTCTTCCCCTCAGAGATTACAAAAGCAATGGGCAGGAAATGGCCCCCTGCAAACGGACTAATGGTTAACCAATGACATGTAGGAGGAGGTACATAGGCAGTCTTACATGGTCTGTGGAGAAAATTTCATCCAGTTTACTTGTTTCTTATCAAAGATAATTCCTAAGTAAATTATTATAATATATGGTTATAAACATTAATTTTTATCTGAAGTATTTTCTATTTGAAATCTCTATATTACTTAAATTATTAAAAAATATTTATAGAACAAATAGCAACCATGTGTTAGACTATAAACACATAGTTTATAGTCTTTTTTGTTTATGCCATGATAATGCCCCTTCTTTATATTGCATCATTTGAAATAATTAACCATCTTACATCTTTCTCTTACATACACATAATTTAAAGGAATGACTAATGAAAATTTTAAAAATTGTTGGCCCTCAATAAAAACTTAAAGTTAAAACTGTAAAAATATTTCCCTTTTTACATTTTCAATCAGAAAATTTATTTTGATTTTTCTTTCTTTGCATTGTAAGAGAAAGATTCATTTCTGATAAAGGTGCAGTCCTGATAAAGCTGTAATCCTGATGAGGGTGCAAATAAAAAAGAAATTCTATGCAGTTTTTCTTGGAGTGTTAATTATTAACAGTTTTTGGAGTTTGGACATCATTTAATATATGCAAGCAGTGCCTTAATAGTATTTGTTCTTCAACCAGGTTTATTAGAGACTATCATGAAGTAACTAGCCAAAAAACTGATAACTATTTTATATAATTTTCCATCTTGTTAAACATTATTTGTAAAGAAAAACTGGAAATTAATTATATATAAATGCATGAATAATTTTCATATGGGATAGTTTTCACTTGTTCCTTCCTTTGGAGGGCAGATTAGAACACGACGAATGTGGTTTGCACAATACATTATCAACATCTTGGAGCTGTCAGAACTTTCAATGCCCTGATTGCTTCTATTTACTTTTCCTCAACCAATAACCAAAAAGTAACTTGAGAAATAGGTAAATTATTATACATTGATACAATATAATATAAAATCATTGAAAGCTTTTCAGCAACATGGTGAATCAAAAGGCATGTCTCATGGACGCATCAAGAAGTAATCTGAAATTGACTAAAATAAACTTATTTATTTATGGGGGGGCTGAGTAGAAATGTAGTTTGATGCCAAGGGCAAGAGACTAGGTGAAGAGACGTGGAATAGTCCATCTAACCCATTGAGGGGAAGCTGGGGTGTGAATTTTTGAAACAGTAAGCTATTCAAAAGCCAGTAGATATTTCGGGAACTAATAAAGGGCACACACAGTCCAGGCAGATACATGTTCAGAAAAGAGCAGACAAGGCCTTAGGGTTTTATGTTGGGCTTATGCTAAGACTAAGAACATACCAAGCATATTAGTTGATAATCATCATGACACAGAACAAATCTATATAGAGTGGGAAAAATGTCTATTTTTTGAAATGCTCAATTAAATAAAATAACAAGGTATACAAAGAAGCTGGAAAACACAATACATTATAAGAAAGAAAACGAATTGACAGAAATTATTCTTGAAGAGCACTGAAATTAGTAGAGAAAGGTTTTTAAACAGCTGTCTTAAATAGGGATAAAATTTCCAATTAAAATATGGAAATAGAACTACAGGAAATTGGGAAAAGCATATATGGAAAAATGAGTATCTCAACAATGATGTAGAAATTATAAAAAATAAACCAAACAAATTTTGGAGCTGAACAATATAACTGAATTGAAAAACTCACTAGAGGATTTCAACAGCAATTTGAGCAGAATGAAGATATAATCTACATGTTTAGGGATAAGATATTTTACATCCTTGAGTCTAAGGCAAAAAAAAAAAAAAAAATGAATAAAGAGATGTGAACAGACCCTAAAGGGCTTGTAGGACACCATTAAGCCAAGTAGTATACACAGCATTGGATTCTGAGAAGGAGAAGCATGAGCCTATGGGAGTGGAGAGATTATGTGGTGAAAACAATCATCAAAAAGTTCTCAAATTGGCAGCAGACATGAATTTAAATATGTGAACAACTTAAAGAATTGGAGTTCAGATAAAGACCTAGGCCCACATCCATTAAAATCAAACTCTAAAAGCTAACAGCAAATAGACTATCTTAAAAGCAGCAGGAGAAACAAAACTGTGTATTATGTACAGAACAATAAATTCTGTTCAAGATGGTCAACGGATTTTTTTATTAGACAATTTGAAGAACATAATAGGTAATACACTTAATGTGGTAAAAATAAAACGGCCAACCAAGAGATCTATATTTGGCAAAAAAAATTTTTTTTTAATTAGAAAGTTATTAAGACAATGTGAGATAAAAGCTATAAGAGTCAATTGCCATTATATTTGCTTTGCAAGAAATGGTAAAGGGACTAATTCAGCTTAAAATAAAATAATTTTAGACAGTAACCTGAAACCATATAGAAGTACGAAGCCCTTTAGTAGAGGTATACATATGGCAAAAGGTGAAAATATGTATTTTTGAAAGTTTGGTTATATTCTACACTTCTTCAAGATTTAAAATACAAATGTGTACAAGTAAGCATAAATCTGTGTTAACATGTACACAATGTATAAATTTGTAATTCATGAAATCAATAATGTGAAGTGGAAACGAAGCTGTGGAACAAATTTTGTATAGGATTGCAGTTAAATTGGCATTGCTTTCAAAGTAGATTGTTATAACTATAGGGTGCTGTATATCTTCCCAAGAGTAACTACAAAGAAAATAACTATAGAAAAAATAGAAGAGCAATTGAGAAAGGAATACAAATATTATTAAAAATCATATACAAAAACATAGTTAATTGAGTATATGAGGATATGAAGGACAAAAAACTAAAGACATAAAAAATGACAAAGTAATTGCAGTCATGTATTACCTAACATTAGAGATATGTTCTGAAAAATACATGTTTAGGCCTGTGGACACATTGACGTTAGCCCATTTAACCAGATTTTGGAATTCTAGTCTCCAGAACTTCAAGAAAATCAATTTGTGGTGTTTCAAGCCATAATGTTTGTGGTAATTCATTACAGCAGGAACAGAAAACCAACTTGGATGTAATTTCAGCAATTCTCATTCTCTCTCTCCTGCATCACCAATTTTTTTTTATCTCTGCTAAGTTCTTCCTAAGAGCACACATGCATGCTGTTTTTGCTGTCATCACAAAAATAACCCCATTTTACTCCATTTTTTCTTGGGTAGTTGCTCAATTGCCTGGTCCCCTTTACAGCCAATTATTTGAACATGTTCTACACTATGTATCTAATTACTCTCATCCTACACTTTGTTGAATGTTCTGACTCTTGCCTCCATCGTGCTATCAAAACATTCTTGACTTTGGAAAGGTCAATAGTCAGTCCCAATGGTCAATGTTGAGACTCCATCTTACTTGTCCTATGAATAGCATTTGACTCTTTTCTTCTTAAAACAATGTCGTCATCTGACTTCTAGGACAGAACAGTCTTTCACTTTCTCTTGTAATTTCATCACCACTCATCAGTCTTCTTTCCTCATACATGCATTCCATCGCCATGCAGGGGCCTGGGAAATGTGAAATTTGAAATTGGGAAATTGCCCAACCCAGTATAACAATGCTAGCATGTGATCACTTCCCTGTGGTCCTGAGACTAGGCTGACCCAACCAGCTGACACCAATATAGCTGATACCAACACAGAAGTGCTGAAAGGTGGAGCCCCTCCTTCTATCTCCATGAAGAAGCAGCATTACCACATCACACTACAGAAGAGCCACAAAGCTATCTGTATTGAACTGGGTGAAGAGGTTCAGCCCCAATATCACTTCCTTAGAGAGCTATGGGACAGTAGTTTCTTTTTATGGCTCTCATCTACACTGTGGCCTGGAGATAGACAGCAATGTGCATCTGAACTGAGAGTCACAAGGCCCAAGACAGGGGTGTATTAGGGAAACAGATTGTGTTACTGACTACCCAGGTTGTTGATCCAGTGCAGTTTCCTAACCCCCACAGAGACCTTCATGCTTTACAACAGAAGTTTCTCTAGTCACCTTTCTTTGGGCTGGTGCCTGTGCTCATCACTGGGGTATTTGCAGGCAATTAAGCTACTCCAGCTCTACCCAGCTATGTCTCTGTCACACACTGAACAGGATGCTCAGGGCACTGATCATTCCACTGTCCATCCCGTCACTTGAAACACAGAAAGCCCCACACAGTAAACAAAGATCAAGTATATACCCATCTGCTTTGGCACAGCTGGCTCTTACCCAAAAGTACCATCTACTGGCCTGTGAATTGAACTGTGCAACTCAATGTAAAACCTACCAACAGAAGTGCCATAAGGCTATCAAAATAAAGCCAAAATACAGTACTCATGATACTCTACAATCATACCCTCAAGGGCGGAGGTATAAAGCAAAAATAGAGAAAAGAATTCCATTGGAATGAATGTAAATTCAAAGCCAAGAACTCAGCTTCTCCAAATGAGAAAAAAATCCAGTACAAGAATTCTTGCACCATAAAAAATCTGAATGTATGTTACCATCAAAAAATTACACTAAGTCTCCAGCAATGGACTCTAATCAAAATAAAACTGAGAAATGTCAGTTGTAGAATTCAAAGTATGGATTATAAGAAAGCTCAATAAGATCCATGAGAAGGTCAAAAACAAACACAAAGAAACTACAAAAGCACTCAAGGGAAGAAAAAAGAGATACCTATTTTGGGAAAAAATCAAAAATTTGAAAACAAAAAATTCACTGAAGGAATTTTAAAATACAGTTTAAAACTTTGAGAGTAGACTAGACCAGCAGAAGAAAGTATTTCATATCTTGAAGACTAGTTTTTCAAATTAATCCAGTCAGAAATTTTAAAAAGAAAATAATTGTTATAAATGAACAAAGCCTTTGAGACATATGAGATTATATAAAGCCACCAAATCTGCAACTATTAAGCATTTCTAAGGAAGATGAATAGAAGTAAGAAGTTTGAAAAACATAGTAGAATAAATAATGCAGAAATATTTTCTTTATCCTGATAGACATTTAGAAATTGAGATTCAAAAATTCAGAGAATACCTGAAAGATACCATGCAAAATGTATGTCAACAAGGCATATAGTCACCAGACCACCCAAGGTCAATAAGAAAGAACAAATTTTAAAAGCAGCTACACAGAAGCACAAATCACCTCTAAAGAAAATCCTGTACTAAACAGATTTAACAGCAGAAAACCTAAAAGTCAGAAGATGTTGGGGGCCTATTTTTAGCCTTTTTAAAGGAAAGAAAATGGAGAAATCATCTTTCACAGACAAGCAAATTTTAAGGGAATTTGTCACCACTAGACTAGCTAGCCCTTCGGGAAATGCTCAGAGGAATCTTAAATATAAAAATAATATGATAATACCATCATAAAAGGACCTGTAAGTGCACAAGTCATAATTGCTATAAAGTAATTGCACAATTGAGTCTCTAAAGCAACTGGATAACAAGACCATGACAGAAACAAAAGCTCACATATCTATGTTAACCTTGAGCATAAATTACCTAAATCCTCCACTTAAAAGAAACAGA